TCTGGAAGCTATCCGGGCTCAGCAAGAATATGTTTCCAGGCATAGGTGTTTATATTCTTGCACAGCCTTCCTCTCAAAATGAACCCTGCATATATCCTAGTCAACCCCTGCGTGTAAAAGAAAAGGAAAAATGGACATGCATTGAGCTATGTTTTTAATATCAAATAGCAGCAGTTCTGTCAGACCAGTGGGGAAAATAAGATGCTGAGCTGCAGAGCTCTCCCTACAATGAGCCTGATGCCTGCACTGCCCTGTACAAACACAGTATACAAGCATTCAGATGGACCTCAAGGAGCACACGCTGCAATAATCTATTGTTAGCACAAAGAACTGGCTAAAATATAGTTCCATATAGGGAACTATACGGAAAACATAGTTCCAACTGCCTTCCCTAGCACAGGACATGAAAATTAAAGCATTTTTGCTCTATGAAGGCAGCTCAGAGAAAGCTTATTCACCAGCTACCAAAAAAGTGGCAGCCAGTGGGCCTGACTGAGGCAAACGTCATCAGACACTCCACATATCCATAAGCTTGTCAGAAGTCACCACTACTCTCTTAAGCAGCTTTTACAGCTCTAAACACAGACAGAGGTTCTGCAAGGATTTCAGTTGGGGCTCTATCCAATGCGAGAGATGGCAAAACTGCTGTGAGATAACTGTGAACCGCTGTTAAAAGGGAGAGGAGAGTTCCCTTGAAATCTATGGCAAACACAAATATATGCTGGAGAGAATTCAACATAGACAGTTCATACTCTTATGTTCATCAATGATAGCAAATTAAAACTGGTCTTACGCACTCAATGCACAGGACTAGAGTATTTAAAAAAAACTCAATATGTTAAGCGCAGTATATCTCCAGAGAAATTAGGTATTGACTGCATGCCTCAGTGAGTAGAAAATCTACAAAAATCCATAGGAGGCATTGATCCAAATATTACTTTTTAACACTAACTATGTAACAATTTTTTAAATGTACACTGGGTGCAGATATAATTCTCTTTAATTATCAATCAACAAACAAAAAGGTAATACTGTTTATACAATATGGTCTTTAAAAATGAATACAATGAATACACTCAAATACTACGCTAAAACTAACAATGCAGTTATTATGCCATATAAAACTTGCACCAAAATAAGAAGGTTTTAAATTTAAAAAGCCCACTTGCTCGTTGCAATGAGATCCAGCCAGCAAATACAGGAATGTTGATGGTGTGGGTCAGATCCTGTGGCAAAGCCCAGTTTGGGCCCTGTCTTATGTTCATCAATGATAGCAAATTAAAACTGGTCTTACGCACTCAATGCACAGGACTAGAGTATTTAAAAAAAACTCAATATGTTAAGCGCAGTATATCTCCAGAGAAATTAGGTATTGACTGCATGCCTCAGTGAGTAGAAAATCTACAAAAATCCATAGGAGGCATTGATCCAAATATTACTTTTTAACACTATGTAACAATTTTTTAAATGTACACTGGGTGCAGATATAATTCTCTTTAATTATCAATCAACAAACAAAAAGGTAATACTGTTTATACAATATGGTCTTTAAAAATGAATACAATGAATACACTCAAATACTACGCTAAAACTAACAATGCAGTTATTATGCCATATAAAACTTGCACCAAAATAAGAAGGTTTTAAATTTAAAAAGCCCACTTGCTCGTTGCAATGAGATCCAGCCAGCAAATACAGGAATGTTGATGGTGTGGGTCAGATCCTGTGGCAAAGCCCAATTTGGGCCCCGACCTGGTTCAAAGTGCACTCTAGACATAGACAGGGGATGTAACTGAGGTCATGAGGAACACTTCCAAACACCTGACAAGCCTGGAAGCCCCCTAGGCAGCACTGTGGCACAGAAGAGCCAGCCTGTGGGGCCCAAACACACTGGGCAGAGTGCAGGTGAGCCGTGCAAAACTAAAGACAAAACCAGCATGAAGAGCCAAGACACCAGGCAGGGCAGCTGCTCCCAGCCTTTCCCAGCCCAGGGGGAATTCTTCAGTTTCAAAGTCAAAGCCACCAGCACCACCAGCACCACCAGTACACTGGCACACACTAAATGAACTTGTCTGAAGGCAGTGATTTGCCATCAGCTGCCACCGAAATGGCACACCCAACTCAGCCCTTACCAGAGGCTGTCAGAAGAATGTGGACAACTTCTACCACCCAAAAGTGTTATCACGCAGCAGACGCTGGCAGGAAACTTTCTGGATCTCAGTGGACTGCATAACCTCTACATCTGATGAACTCCATGGAGAGCTTGGGGGATAAACAGGCACGCAGCTGGGTTAAACTCTTGATTCAACTAGGGAAACATCAGTGTTGATTTAAATTAGTGGGAAGTGGTTGCATTTGATTGGCTTTACGCAAGGAGGTTATCAGCTTCAAGCATTGCCAAGAGGCAGTTTTGAAAGCAAAAAATTCATAATTTTGTTTTAAGTTTCTGCATGTATCTCAAGCTGCTGTATATATTCAGGTAGGTACTTTATGAGCAAGACAAAATGTTCTAATTTGTCTAACTCAATACAGCAACTGGTACTATTCAGGAGTTTTGAGCTTTTGAGATATTTATATTGCTACATACATTCAAGAAAATGCACTCTGGAAAGGATCGCATTTATATAAAATAACATTTAAAAGTTAGAAATATATTCCAAGAGCACTGAAATAAAAAAATGCTCCATTCTGAAAATCAGGGTAACACGAGAATGAAGGCTGTCCGAGCAGCTTTAATTTGCCAACAGCGAAGCAGACTTTCAACACCTCTCAGAAGAGCACCCCACCTCACTTGATACGCTGACACTCAATCACGAGTCAGGAGCACAGGAGATGGCTGAGCAAAGAAGCACCTTTCCCCCAGCCGCTGGAAGGCTTTTAGTATCCTGAAACACTTCCTAAACCTCACAACAAGAGACGAGATGAGGGAAAGCAGTTGCTGCATTCTGCCATCTGGACCTGTGCAATCTCCGACAGAAGTCGCTGCAGATGCATATTTTCCCCGGGATGTTGAGAGACCTGCTGCAAATGGGAAACTCTGGTAATTTGACCTTAATGGATTCAGGCTGTTACAAGGTTAGAGCTGAGGCATTCAATGTGAAGCGTTTGGATTCTCTGCAACATACCAGATACCCCATCATGTTCTGCAGGCTTTTCCGGCAGGAGCCTCCGAAAAATCTGAGGATTTTCTGTTTGCAGCTATTAACAAGCAATAAATTTTCAAGTGTAAGATAGGGGTAAACTCCCTCAAGCTATCTTTCTGAATATTTTGTTTCCTGGAGTCCTCTGCTTTTCACCAATTCCATCATAGCTTTAGCTACTTGAGAGGGTACTCTGACCCACAGATTGCAAAAGACAACTCACACTTCGCACGTGCACACCTTTTGCCACTCACATCCGTAAAATTTCTGTACTCTCTCAAATAAAAGGAATTATCTGTCCTGTAAACAAATCAACAGACACCTGTCCGCTGGACAAACCAGCTGCTATAACTATCCAACTGCCAAATCCCAAATACTCCAGCTTCATCCTATTCTTCAAACAGCATCCACATCAAATACTGGTCCACAGCTCCATCGCTCACATTACCAGGAAAAACAGCCAGTCGGGTCTCCAGAAAATGCACTGTATGCTTGGCAGTGCTAGGAGAGCCTGAAACAGATGCCCTCTTCACCACAAAATATTTTTTAGCAGGTGAAATCGTGCAATTGTCTTACCAGCAAATACTTGACAGTCTTATTTCATTTTTCCTAATGACCAGAGTTAAACGATTGCAGGTTTTAACAGCGCTGGCAAATTATCAAGACCCTCTACATTACATGGTCAATGGTCCTTTTAATAGAAAAAGCAATAATATACAGTTGTTTGTGCCAACTAAAACTCGTTAGAAAGTATTAGTTTAAGGTAACAGTTCAGCAGCTATTAACAAGCACAAATTTCTACAGTTATCACTTGTGACACTATGATCCTAGCAAAGCTGGCAGCAGAAAACCATTCCTTTTGTTTTAGAAGATCTTAGGGGTGAGGGGGGGAATAGGAGAAAGAAAAGTTAACAAAAACACTGTTTCATAGCAAGAGTCAAAGTTTTTCAATAATCACCATTTTTTTCACTAGCATAACATTAGAATTGACTTTTTGTCTTGCTGACATGGCAACTAAGAAAGTTGTGTTGCATTGACCATATTGATTGTGAACAATGCAGCCATCAGTGGGACTTTGCACCATATATTTTCGATATTGACCTCCCATTCCCTTTTCCATGGCTCTATGGGCCTGCTATTGGATTTGGACTGCAGTGTAATAAACAGCTAAGGTTTAATTAATGGTAAATGAATACAAGACATAGGTTATGACTTTAACTAATTAGGGAATTGTTGAATTAAGTCTGCCTTGGAATGCAAGGCAGTACAATCAATATCCAATAAAAGGACTATGTATGTAATTTACCTGCAAATGTGTTTCCAATACCATCGAAGTGAGTTTAAATAAGTAAGATATATGAAAGGCTACTGGAAAAAAGATTTCAAAAAGTTAACACTTTATGGCTTCAAAAAAGGTTTTTCTCCTTGCAGAAGGAATGTCATCTTGAAATATCCTCTCATAACACAGATGGTGACACTCAGACACAGCTCTCCCTAAAGGACGGTGCAGACCTGAAACACTTTTCCTTGACAATGCAACATGAGCAAATATTGCCTCTGCCTCTACAGAGTATAGCAAACACAAACCAGTACTCCCAACATCAACCAATTAAGTTTAATGGCAAGCTCTTAGGGCATCTTGGTCAGCCTCCCAGTACCACACATGCAGCAGGCTTTCTGTTGTAATCGTGTGACTCCCCTTCCCACACTGGCGCCAGAGAAGCCTTCCCAGGTACACGAAAAGGTCACCACACAAGGGTCTGAGCAACCCTGAGCAATCCCCAATCGTATACATCAGCTCACACAGCCTGATTACTTATTCTGTAATCACTCCTCTGAAATAAAAAAAAAGAAACCTACCTACTCCCTTGTGGGCATCTATGCTGGTAAACTCTATTGTCCCGTTATGGCCCTTCCTAGGATTTTCCTGATACTGTTTGTGGTTCCCATTGGGACAATATCTGTAGGAAAGTCCATAATCTGCAAGATAAACCTGGAAGACATGAACAGACAAATGAATAATGCTTTTGTCCTTTCAAAGTATAACCTTTATAATTAAGTCTTAAGAAACTGATAGGTTAAGGACAACCTTAGATCTAAATTTTATTAAACCAAATGGTGCCTCAGGATAAAATATGTACAACTGGGGGCTATAACAGCTGCCCTCCCCATTTAAATCCTTCCACTACTATACTCTTATCTTATTTCAGAGTCGAGCAGAAATTCAGCTGTTTTATTTTGTTCCTAAGCTCCCTCCTCTCCAGGTGGGCATCTAGACATCATAAACTGCAATATGCTTTTTATGGATCGTCACGTTGCTTTTAAGACCCCTTCCCCTCCTTACTTAAACAGGCACATACACACCCCTGTTCAAATTTTCCATCAGCTGAGACTGTACAATGTCATAACAGCAGTGAAACTTAAAAGCCAGAGGAAGTCAGAGGTCACAGTTTCCCCAGCTGGACTGGATGCTAAGAGGGACCGTGACCAAAGGGCTGCTGGGCCTAACTGTAGTCTCTTCTTTTTGAATGTCACTGTCAATTAATTAAGTTTGTACTGGCCACAACTATTTAAACATTAAGCGTAAGATAAAACAAAGCAAAACAAACTAGCCCCTCCCAACCCAGAAAGCCATCTTAGTAAACCACTCCTGAATTTATAATAAATTTTAAAAAGGCACAGAGCCAGACTTCACTCTGAGTTACTCTGAAGCAAATCCATGGAGCTAAATCAGTGTAAGAGCAAAAAAAATTGGGTCCCCACTGTGTATATTTCAGCAAGTTCACGCATTCTGCCACATTTACCTTTCCATCCCGGCACAGGTGATTTTTTTATTTTTTTTCCCCAAAACACTTCACCATAGCTACCTAAATAACCAGAGGGAGGAAGCCACACAGTTTGTGAATGATGTATCGGGAGATGCACTTGCATATTCTTGGGACTTAACTGTGAAAGTATTAGCTGACTTAAACTTAGTCTCACTCACTTTTATGGCATTTGAAGCTGAAAACAGAACAGCTCAGGACAGATGAATTTTACTTTCTCTTCTTCTGCTGCCTGTCAAGACAAACATGCCATCTGGCTCCTACACCTCTATTTCTCTATAGGCACAGCGCCGGCAGTACTGCAGCCACGTCAATTCTGCCACTCACATAATTTAGATTAAGGGCACAAGTCCACTCTAGGAAGTTCAGATTAACATGTTCTTCCCTCCAACGGGGGTGGACTTAATACATGCACATGGTCAATTACTGCAGCACAGCTGACAAGCAGTAACTTGTTGAAAGCAACGGAATTTAATCACAGTCTGTCCACCCCACAATATCCCATAGGTTATTTTCTCACTCTGTCATTTTCACACTCCCACCTGGCCTTTGCCCCTTACATTGACCAGTTCTCACATTAGGTAATTGTTGTTTTTTTAATAAATATCCAAGTATGGTATTTTCACTTAAAAAAAAATAAAATGCTACAGACTGCTATTATATTGCCAATGGAACTGATCTCTGGGGCAAAAGCTAAATCATCTGAAGGCATATAGAGATCATTTCTACTAAATCATAATATATTATAAAGAAAAACTTTTTCTTATTCAAACCTTAGTCTTGTTTCCTCTTCAGTTAAAAAATAGTTTACCCTATAAAAGTCTGAAATAAACTCTTCTGGCACTCACTTGTAATTTAATTATGTCACACTTGGTAGAGGAAAAACAAACAAACAAAAAACCCTGAAGAAAACTTAACGCATTATTTTGTAGTACATTCTGTCGAACTACTGATTCCTGTTTGTGCTCCAGGCAGCTTCAAATCCTGGGATGGCTGGTCTCTTGGTTTTACTGTTTCTGCTGCAGGATCTGTGCTTATTTGGAGCGTGTAAGCTGGGACGCAGCACTCACTTCCTGCAGGGTGATGGCTTTTAAGACTGCTGAAGTCGTTTTTCACCTGACAGACTGTACAAACTGTGATACAAGATTAAAGACCGTAGGCACATTTAGAAAATCTGGGACAAGGCATAAACTTTGTTGGGTTGACCGATTTGATTTTCTCTTGCATCCGTTCTTGAGTGTATTCCTGATGCTCTGGTACCTGTCCTAATTGAGCCCACAGTCAGTGTGAGAGAACTAATTTCAACTACTCTGATACCAAGTTTTGTGAGTCTTCTGCATCCTTTGTGGGCTGGGAAGGTGGGACTAGGCTAGAAGCTGTATTTTTCCCAGGTTAAGTGGTACATTTTAGATTTTGCTCAACTATAGATTTCTGACATGCACAGTTGACCAGATACAATAAAATGAAATACAGAGGAGATTTCAACCTTTAAAAATTCAGGCTATGCCTTATATGAAAATGAGATTTTAAACATTAGGAAAAAACAATAGAAGAGCAGCATCACTGCCAGCTTTCTGGTTCTGTCTGGGCTCGGAACACCAGCAGCCTGGCCTTAGTGGTCTTTCAAACTACCTTAACAACAGGGCATCTAGAAAGTAGCCACAAACATTTGCTAATCAAACTTGAACTATGTAAAAAGTTAACAGCTACCCTACAGTTAAATCACAGTAACTAGGTACTCTTAGTCCATTTTTAAGCAACAGATTTGCTTCAAATACAGTCAGAAGTAGCATCAGCAGAACAGTTTTAAATTGATACTGAAAAACCCCTGCAAAAGTGAGAAGTAGCTTTAGGTTATCCTACCTTGTCTGATGGTGGCAAGACCTGAAAACCAAGAAGTAGTCACTTCTTAAAGCCACTCACGTGCAATCTCAACAACATCTATGATTGCACCACAGTTTGCTCCAGAAGCTGGTCATGAGTGTCATTGTTCAGCTTACTTCTAGCCGAGCCATTCATCACTTCCACAACTTTTACACCCAATTTTTTTCCACAAACATGCAACTGATGGTAGCCTCTCAAGGCAAAGCCTCTTGGCCACCAACAAAAATCAATCCCCTTCAGCTTGTACAAAACCTGCAATGCACTGTTACAACCTTGCCACAACCATTATCAGAATGACTACATTATTTTAAATTACCATTAATTTCATTTCATCAATTCTCATTATAACCCTTTCATCATTAAAAAGATATATAGTTCTTTATAGCTAGTTGTCACTTTTTGACAATATAACACAGCGTGTCCTTCCAAATCTGCTCAGAACTTGGTGGGTAGGGGAGTTAAGAACTTTGTAGCTTGTTGTGAGTTTTTTAAAGGTATAGGTAGGGGGAAAAGGAGTATTAAAGAAGATTGAGAAAAATTAAGTCAGTGTTAGTATGTATTTCAATACCATAAATATTTTTCAACTGCATGCTTTTATTAGGAACAATAAAACAAATAAGAACAAAAGCAGAATGAAACATATGTAAAGTAAGATAAAGAAGACACTTGAAACAAGAAAGGGTAAGGTATGATGACAGTGCAACAGTGTCATAAGCTGGGTTTAACGGTGTTACATTGTACACTCCTTCCCACACATTTATTCATTTTAACTCTTGGTTTTGCTCGGTTGTTTTTTTACACATCCCAGTCTGCACTACACTCAGCACTGCTTAGCACGGTCTGTTATTAATAGATTTTGTTATAGATTAGGAGCCAGATTTCTAAAGTCTTTGCAAATTTCATGCAACATGAATGTGCCCAACCAACTTAGTCAAACGAACAGCCACATAGGCACAAATAATTAATTATGTGCACAAGCAACCAGTCATATATTCAGCAGTCCTCTTACCCTTTCTGTGCATGACACCCAAACAGTGCTTTACATCTGAAGTGCTAAATATCTGCTAAACGTCTAAAATTTATACAACTTTTATATATTATGATATAGAACTGCACTGATCTGGGAAGTCATAAGCCTGGTGCTTTGTATTCTCATGGTATTCTTTGTCTTGAAGTACATAGAGCAAGAGATTTATCACTGAAAGGATAATAATACAGTGATTTTCTTTGTACACTTTCTTTTCAGTGTTTCCACTACTAGGCTTATGTAATGCACTGTAAATAATTAAGTAGATGCCTACTAATAAGAGGCAGATTGGTTGCTAATGGCCACAGTGCTGTCAGTTGACACTACACTATAAAGTAGCTTGAAGTCCATCTTGGGACAGCAAGCCTGAAGTATGGTGTTTGGGACAGAAACAGCATCTTTCACAAAGCAGAAGCCAAGGAAGGAGGAAAGCAGGTTAAGCAAAGGAGAGAGGGGAAGAAATCTTCTGTGACTTGTCAGTGGCAAATCCTGACACTGAAATCAATTCAGCTCCAAGATACTTGGGCCATTACTACCAAAAAGAAATTAAACCAGTGCAAACAATTCTATCCAAATGTAGCAGTAGGACTGATTAAGAAAATTAAGACCACCTGATTGTGAATCTACATCTCAGATCAAGGGCAGGAATCACAATGACTAATCTCACAATGAAAAACAGCTTAAAGTTGGAATTGCTTTCATGCACCTTTTTTCCATATGATCAATGTGTGAGCCCTGTATCTTCTACGCTGGTCCACTGAAAGCTATTCTTAAAAATTTTAAAAACATTTTTGTATTCTTCTTTTTTTCCCCCTTTTCGGTTAGAGCTATCTATGATAATCAACTCTTAGAATTTTATTCTCTAACTATCTTGTCTAAGAAATGCTTAAAATCAGAAACATTTTTGTATTCTTCTTTTTTTCCCCCCTTTTCGGTTAGAGCTATCTATGGTAATCAACTCTGAGAATTTTATTCTCTGTCTTGTCCAAGAAATGCTTAAAATCAAAATCAGAACCAAGGTGCAAATGCAATTAAAATTTAGGGCTTTAAAATCCAAATAGGCAACTTCTGGTGCAGACTTGAGTCTGCAACACTGCAGTATGTCTGCCCATCTATTCCATGGAGGGAAAAAAAGAAAATACTACAAGGTAATTGTTTTAAAGAAATATTCTTCCAAACCTTATTTCATTTATTTAAAAGCTCTGATTTTAAGCTCTTGTCTAGTGACTGCTTGTCCCTTTTAATAGTATCATAATTTAAATGAGTTTAATGGATTTGAATTTCTCTTTTAGAGTATATATCAATAATGCTTATTATCCTGCTTTATCATACAGTTCCTGCTATGTACCGAATTATCTTTAACTCGCCGCAATACTGAGTCAGTGCTTCACTTGTTCTGTAATTTATAGGTCTGATCTCTTCAAGTTTTCCTTCAGGCCTCTCCGAGATTCATGGGCTGTGTACTTCCCTCAGTACATCACTCCTGTTCTGTCAGTCATTGTGCTGGGTCCATGTTCTGAAACATATTGACTAGAGAATTGATCTTCTGACCTGTAACTCTCCGAATGGCCCCGCTTCCTTCTATTGAATAGAACTGCAGCAAGCTGCTCTTTGAGGTCAGTTGATTCTGATCTTCTAACCATTTCTAAACATCATTTGGAGGTCACAGAGTGGCAGGACCTTTACTTTATTTGTTTCTCTGCCTTGCCACAGAAGGTAGGGGATGGCAGTATGGATTTCACACGTTCTTTCAAAAAGGGGACTATGATATTTATTGGCTGTGGTGTAAATTTACCAAGTTAATTTACAGAACAGAGAGAGAGCAGCAGCAGAAAATCTAACATAGAAAAATGGTCTTTTTTGGAACTGCAGGAAGTCAGTGATAAATTCGCTCATAAGAATATACATGAACAGCCACTAAATGACCAAAAAAATGCAATGTTGAGAATAAAGGTACACCTGCTTTTTTGAACAGAGATTTATGCCTCTTCACCAAAAAAGAATACAGAAATATATTTTGAATATATATATTATTTTTAAGAGATTTGTTTTGGAAAGGAACCCATAACTAATTTCTAGAACTAAAGAACACTTCCAACTTATTTTCTCTGAAGATCCTAGACCTAAAGAACAAGAACCCACTAGCATAAAATTGTTAACAAAAACTCACCACAGAAATTGTTCGGTCAGACAGCTTTATTATGGCAGCTCCCACTGGAGCTACACATCTCTCAGCTTGTGTGCCTGAGTTTGAGTTTGCCACCAGCTAGATGCTCTCACTCCCTATTCATGGGATGAGGTTGATCACTTTACCTCCCAGTACCATTGTTTTAAAAAAAACAAGACCAAGGCAATCTAGCCATCCACCATTTTAGCAGAGACAGAAGGTGGGACAAAACATTTCACAGGCGTTTGGTAGCAGTATCAGTGCCTGAGGTTTTATCTAAAGTGTCTAAGGTTAGTGCAAGACTGCCAAATTAAAATATAGCACCTCCAAAAACAGTTTAGAGGATACAGGACAGGATATCCCGTATCGCTGTCATATTTAGTCAATGGTAATGCTCCACAGAGCTTCCCAATGGGAACCAGACATGTCTGGAATAGGAAGGAGCCACTTTCATGGCAAAATTACATGCAAATTAATGGCACATGCAAATAGCCAGGACATGACAAATGGAAAATCACCTGTGTGAATACACATGTACAGTTCTGAATACCTGAAGTCTGGTCAGAATATTGTCCCGTGCTGCTCCTAACCGAGGTAAAGAACAGTTCCTGAAGTATGGGGGCAGACAGCACATCACAATCAACAACTCCAGGGGGACCTTTAATTAGTGGCGTGTGTAGATCTGCCAGTTTTAAAGTTTTAGCTGTGGTGTTGGTGAGATTATTCCTTCTTTTCATGCCCCACAAGCCACAGCGCATACATGTTTCAAGACATTGTGCAAGCTGTGTCTGGAAAGTAATTTTTTATTTGAGCAGAAACAGTCCCATTAAGCCATCTGCCCTGCAGTGTAAGCTAAACACAGTACCCATTACCTTAAAATACATTTAGAAATAATCCTCACTGTCATGGCTGTAGACAGTTATAGTATAGTTACCATGGCTTCAGTGAAATCAGCACATCTGTGGCCACTAGCAGAATTTCTGAGGCCCATGCCTAGGAAGTTCTTAAAAATCTTAAGAAATCTTAAGAATATCTGAACAGCTCTAAGTTTTCTTAAGCACACAAAAATGAAAGTTTAATTCATACCTTACAAATGCAAGCTAATACTAGAAATTCTCTCCTGTTAGGTCTTTTGAATTAGAGTGTGAACTTTTAAAAATGTTTTATAGAATAATTTCAGTGGAAAAGAAATTTTACTAAAACAAAATTCTACACTAAATCTCTCAGCAGTAGCATACACTTTGTACATGTTGATCTAGGAGCTACTTAAACTGGAATATCTATTGATTGATTTATTTAATAAATATAACTTAAGCTATATTTTCACCTAGAACCTCTGTCCAGTAACTCAGATTATTTTTAGTTTGTCAATGAATTTACTACTCGTGAAAAAATCCCCACTAGTATCGCAGGATTTTCATGCAGACAACATTAGAAACAAATCAGAAAATCACCCCACAATCCAGCTAATTCAAAAGCAGCTGATCAAAGTCAGTTACATGTCTTCAAATTTTATGATTACTGTAAATGGACACTTCTAGAATTATTTCAATGTGAAAAACAGCAGCATATCTTGCTGTCATAAAAATACACAATAGCCAAGACAAGAAAAAAAGTCAGTTCAGTTACATTAATGGGTTTGGGTAGCAGATTGTTTTGCCTCTAAATAGCCTCCTCCTCTGGATTCTGCAACACCATAAACTGAGGTTATGTACTGGATTGTCTAAAAACATGGTGGTTTTAACAGCCGTGCCATTTTTCAAACTGTGTGTTTTAGAAGGCTGGAAAGTTAAATTTGACTCAACCATTTAACTTGAAACTTGTAAAAAACAGATATAGTTCAACGGTTCAACCTCCAATGGCAGTAGCTGTTTTGCACAATTTGTTTCTTCATCACTGCAGCAGAAAACCAAAAATTGACAGAAAAGAAGTACTCCTTACAGCTAATTAAAGTTAAGTTAGAGATGTCCTTTTTTCCTAAATTATATTTTCTCCAAGAAAAAAGCATACTTAGGTTTTAATAACTTAAGAAAAAAAAAAGACACCATAAGAGCACCTGGATTATAATAGGATCAAAAGATTTGTTTGAAAATGTTTCACCAAAACACTTCAATTTCAAGGCTAGTTTTAGGCTTTAGAGTGTTAGAGAGCATCAGCTTTAATCCTACTTACCTGTTATATCCCCTACAAAGAGCAGGACAAAAGAGCTAGTGGCATGGAAACACAATTCAGCACAATATTAGAAAGCCAGAACTTCCCAAGAATGGAAATACAATGGGCCACATCCTCAAATTCTACTAATATACTTATATTGGCATAACCTAGGACAGTAATTAGAACCCAGAACTAACTTACCCTCTTGATTAGTTTACCCACCCATATCAGTACCCCAGGCAGCAGAGCACAATGAGGACAAAGCAGAGCTTCTTTCTCAGACCTTAAGCTCCACAGAGCCACTCTTATTAGATTTGTCATGACAAGATGTGAATGTTCAAGCATAAACTTCTTTTAATACACAAATTGTTAATATAGAATATACATAACTATTAAACAGTAACAGTGTAGATAAGTAAACATGCTTACCTCGTGCGGGTTGGTGTAGCCCAAAAGTAGATTTGCTGCTTTAATGTCACCATGAACATACTCATTTTCATGTATATATTCCAAAGTATCCAACTAGGAAAGGATTTAGAACAGAAAAGAAAACATCATCTTCTCCACTCCGCCCCTAACCCCACCACCAAATATTTCTCACTTATACAGTAAAATCAAGGGCTGCACAGACTGAGCTGACAAATTTGTTTTAAGTTAGAGCACAAGGACTACCCACTCTGTCCATGAGGCCTGTTCCCACCAAGCGCATAGCTGATGGCAAATCATAAACATGCAACACTGCCATGAGGTGTCCTGTGTAACCACCTGTGAGCACCAGCTTCTAAGGTCAAAAAGCAAGAATGAAACGTTGAGAACACCAATCTCTTAAAAAGAACAAAAAAAAAAACCCAAAAAACCTGAAGATTTATAATATATTTGATCCTGCCAGTTATCATACGACCGGCATTTCATGTCACCATCCCCTTGCATCATCCTCCTTCTTCAGCTCCTTACTGAGGTATGATACCTCTAATTGTTATTAAAGAACATATTTGCATTTGGTAACTCATACAAAGAACAATCTAATCCTGGCTTTTGGAGGGTACAAAGAGTCTGACAAGTTTCACCCCCCCCCCCCCCCAAACCCCGAAGATTTATAATGTATTTGATCCTGCCAGTTATCATATGACTAGCTTCTAAGGTCAAAAAGCAAGAATGAAACGTTGAGAACACCAATCTCTTAAAAAGAACAAAAAAAAAAACCCAAAAAACCTGAAGATTTATAATATATTTGATCCTGCCAGTTATCATACGACCGGCATTTCATGTCACCATCCCCTTGCATCATCCTCCTTCTTCAGCTCCTTACTGAGGTATGATACCTCTAATTGTTATTAAAGAACATATTTGCATTTGGTAACTCATACAAAGAACAATCTAATCCTGGCTTTTGGAGGGTACAAAGAGTCTGACAAGTTTGTCAATTATGTGACTACGTAAGTCCTTCACTTTTTTAAAAAAATTATTATTATTATTTAGGTTAAAAGGAAATTTCAGCGGTATCCAGTCTAAACCACCTGCTTCAAACAGGACTAACATAAGCTAGATGGGGTTGTACAAGAGACTGAATAGTCAAGTTTTAAAAGTCCCCAAGGATGGATGTTACACAGCCTCTGGGAAGCACATGCCAATGCTAAAATACTCTTTCTGCAAAAACTTCTCCTTCATACTCAGAGTTCCTCTTCCTTTCGACCATTACCTCTCATCCATTTACTGTGCACCTCTGTTCAGTAAAAGCAGTCTTTCACAACACAAATGATATTACAAAGGAGCATGTATACAATCTTCTGTTAGATGTGCCAGTCAACACACATTTGAAAACAAAACTGATATTTGCAGACTAGCCTAAAACTGGGCTGTTCAGCAAATACACCAAAAATTTTGCATGCAGGGCTTTCAATTGTAAACTTTGACAAATATGGATGTCTAATACAATACCCTTCAGACATTGGGGGTAAAAAAAAGAATCAATACATGTTAAAGCATAAGAGAATAGGCTTACACATCTCAGTCTAGACACACATTTTGAAGTGCATGGTGTATGTTTTAGTCTATTAGAAAAATATTTTGCTGTAAATCCACCAACTTCCAGTCTGCAGGTGGTCCTGATTTTCTATTTAATACTTATTGTATTAAAAAAAAAAAAACCAACATGAAAAATAAGAAAATCTATAGCATTTACACAAGTTTAATCAAAAACTCAGGAGCTAACTAAAGGAACTATATTAGAAAGATAGTTTTCTAGCAAGTTTGAGACGTAGCAATTTCCTCTCTCTCTGTACATACCATTCGTGCCCCAAGTTGCAGAACAGTGTCCTTCTTAAATCTGCTTCCACAATCTTCAAAGATTCTTTGAAGGTCTTCCCCTAGTCTCTCCATGACCATGAATCTATAGCTATCAGGAAATACAGAAAAGGGAGGAACCTTTTAAGACAAGACTGCAGGTTTGTGTCAGATTGAAATGACTTATATCCGATTTGTTGCAAATGGATTTTCACTCAATTTGAGTCTTAATTACAATTCATCTTATTACCTTTTTCCCTTGTACTCAGCCAAGCCTGATCCCCAAAACACCGGAATTCCTAAACATCTTATTTTTTTGAGACTCATCCATTTTCTTACTGTAATAATGATAAAAAAATAACATTGGGTTAAAGGTAGCTAGAGAATTTAATGTTTGGTGTAAGTTTGTTTGTTGGTTTTGTTTCAGCTATCAAGCCAAGACTTTGAATGAAACACAGAAACAAATAAGACTTATTCAGCAGTTTGTATAGCAAACAATTCAGACCACAATGTTACTCTGAAGTTCCCCACATTCTGCAAAAAAGCAGTAGTTTTTTGTTCTAGCAATGTGGTATTTTGTTCCCTTAGAAGGCAGATAAGCAATTACCAATAGCTGAAGAAATAATTCCTTTAGAAGCTCTACTTTATTCAATACAGAATGCTTCAAGCTATCAAAAGTGCTTAAGTCTACCAGCAATCTAAGTCATCTAAAGTCTTTAGGACAGTTCCCATGAATAAATCACATCCATGCTCAAGGGTCTGCAGAATCAAGTGCGTTGATTACTACTAAATCCTATGATGATTACACACACTCTTAGCTCTGCACATGGAAATAGTTACTAGCAGAAATACAATCACCAATTAGTTCATGTAGTACCTCTGTACTAAGGCAGGCCTCTCTCTGAAGTCCATTCAGTATTGTGCACTCTGAAGTGTGCACATAATAAATTTGGCACGCTTCTATTCTCCCTTCTGATCAGAAAGCACAAGGCTGACATTCAAGTAAAGAAACCTATAGTAATCTAAAATTATTATAGCACCAACTAGAATTAGTTCAGTGTATATGAAAAGAGTTGGCTAACAAGCTCTAAAGCAACAGCTATTAGAATGAGTTAAACCCAAACTTGTTCTTAAATCTGCCCGAATCAGAACTGATATATTACTTACTATGCTCTTGTTTTGCAGCCCTCTGGTAGAATTTCAGTTCAGAAAATAAGGGGCCATTTTCAAGATATTCCTATTGAGAATAAATAAACTTAGTATCATAAAATGCATTAGAAAGACATCAGTTTCTAAAGAAAAGCATCTGAGAAATTCAAAGACAATGAAACCTCTTTTTTTCCCCACCTCCCTTATACAATGCCATCTGAAATGCAATTTTAACAAGTAGCTAAAAAGAAAAGTTGTTTGGCAGCATATTTCCATAAACAATATAGATTCTTTCAGGAATTAAGACACTATTTTCAGAAATATTGTAGATCAGGTGTATATAAGTTCATAGTCTGATTTTCCTTACTAAACTGTTGAGGACAGTAATCAAGGAGAGAAACAAGTCAAGGAATACTGTATGTCACAAAAATGCCAATTTTTCCCCGAGCAGGGGAAGTATATCAAGATCTAAAAAACAGGGGAAAAGAACAAAAGCTACAAGCATGCAATACAGACCCAATGCTGAAAATAAGGATAGATAATTAAGAGAAAGAACTGCATACAAGTGAACAATTTAGAAATGAGATCTACACATTACCACTTTAATTACATGCACTGCATCATCTTCTACAGGAACATGAGTTTGAGGGGAAGCTGCAAAATGAGAAAGAGATGAGGATCAAGCTGTATGCAACAAAATAGAACTGCAAACAAAGACCAAGCTAACGCTGTATAAAGTTACCAAAAAATACACGACAAAGATACCCACTGTTTTGTTTGAAGTCCTGCTTTTAAAGGTTTTGCCAAGTTCAAGGAAAAACAAAACAAAAACACCACAGACAGTGAAGTTTTAATCAACAAGTGCAGAAGCAATTTTAACCCACGTTTTCAGAACGCTCTCCCTCGATGCTAATTAAGGAATAAGCAGGATTTCCCCATTTCACGTTTGCACCACAATGAGGTATTCCATTATAACAGATTATGTTTAAGTCATTCCAGTCAATTGGATAACCACTGTATTTGGTTGCTGTCAATCCACTGTCGTGACAAAGACACCACTTAAAAGTTATGACCTACATTATGCCTCTAGACAGGATTGTCTGCTTTCCTCTATTACAAATTAATTTGGCCCTAAAACCTTGATTTCTATTCTGACATTATTTAGACACTGGCTTAAGTTAGGGATAGCACAGCCACCACCTGCCTAAAGGGGAGATGAGGGATTGTGCCTCTTAGTGCAAGTAGACATTTCAAAACAATAATTGACCACATGTGCCAATTACAGCCCAGGAGACAGAACCTCTCTGCACAGACAATGCAATCCTATTTTCTTCTGACCCTGAGAGAACTATCAGTTCTCTCTGATACTACTGAAGCTACATAGAGCTACACTGGGATTAAAATTTAATGAGACTAAATCATCTTTTAGAATGATCACTGAAAAAAACCTAAAAAGAATACAGTTCCTAGGAAATAAGTGTCCCTTTCAAACTTCTTATAATGATCAAATACCAACAACAGTCCAGGTGTGAAACACTTCAACTACCAGCACACACAAAAATAGACGACTTTTATCCGCATAATAAAAATCAAGTAAACTTGGATCTAATCAAACCATCCAAGCTTACATTTTTTGATGGTCAGAGCATAAAAGTATTTTTTACAATGAACAGACTCCGTCAGCTGCCATCTTCCTTCAATTCTATTCAGCATCTGGGTTGAATCTGGCAGCACACATACCCCAAACACCCACAGAGTCCCCACTGCCTTCTGCTTGACAGTTCCCCATGTGAATGCTTCTGTGCAATAACATATTAAGATAAAATGAACATTCCTAAAACAAGAACTCTGGAAGGTATCGGCTATCCATAGACTCAAACAAGTAGCAATCACATTTAGAATACAATTTAAAACTATCATACTACCAGGAAGGAAATTCTGGTAAACTTTGTTCTTACCATAGTATTGAACTGAACTGGGAATTAAGGCACAGGTGCTTAAGCCTTAAACTTTCTCTGCCATGTGTAGACTAGGTGTTAATAGCTAAAGACTTCAATTTAAAGGAACACATCCCATGTGTTTTCATTGTATCCAACATCAGGTTACCCAAACAGAATTAGATGTGCTCTCTTACTGACACAGACTAGAAAAAAACTGTATATAAGAAAATGTATTTTAATACAAGTTACTTAACAATGGTTTGATAGATATAGAGAGGCATCAAATGTAAATGTATTTGAAAGAGTCTGATCTAACTTCCCTGTAGACATCTTGACATTTTATAAAGAGAGGCCTCATTCATGGTAATCTGGAACAGACAGTAACAGCTGTCAGGGTAATGAAGAAGAGCAATTAACGAGAGGTAGCTGAGCAAAAGGGTCTAACCCTCATGGTTCTTACACTGTGGCGATGTGGATGCTTTTCAGAGTCACACTGAAAGAACATCCTGAAGAAAAATAAAAACAAAACTAACTGCAAATCTTTACAATATGAAAAGGGAGAAAAAGTCAGACAAAGCTCAAAAAGATACAGGAAAAGATGCTCCACAAAATGAGTAACATGACATTCAAATCCACAAAGGGAGAATGATATTATTGACTTTACTGCACATACATGAAACAAGGCATAAAATTCACAGTGAAAAACACTCTAAACTTCTTACACAGATAATGCTTAGGCAAACATACAGATAAGCAGAAGTTGTATACGTACCTTTTATTACATCTTTTTAATTAACCATTCATTTATCAGCAATAATATTTTAACCACAGCTTAGAAATAAGACAGACTATTTTTTGTCCATAAATATACATAAATGGTTTTTAAAAAATTGTCTCATTACTATGTATAGTTATTTAACAGACTGGAAAGGCTCCCAAGGTTTAACAAACAGTCTGATTACATACCTCATAGACCACCACCACATACTCTCCTGCGAGTTTAGCTCATAGTTAATTACTGTATACTCGTAATTAGCCATGTGCTAGCCTCGTTCTGTGTGGTAGCACATGGCTATTTATAATATTACAATCAGTTAAATGCTAGACTGCAGGACAGTAAGCAGAGACCCTGCAGGATAGCAATGCTGATAGGCAGGAGGTCTCCAATGGCATATAAGTACACACATAGAGTACCAGGAGCACTATATGGTGAGATTATGTTTGCAAAGGATATCTTGAAATAGCATAACAAGCGTGAGCATTCCCAGTTTACAGTTTATGTTTGTGCATCTCTAGCTGATAAAACCATCTCCTTACATTTGGGAGGAGGGGTGTTGATGTATGCACACAATCAAAACCATTGTCTGCGTAATTGTTAACTGGGAACAGTGGTGCAAGATGAAGCTGTGCAGGGGGCTGTGGCTGTTTCCATTTCATGCCAAGACGAGTCTCACAAAACATTTGCTAAGGGCAAAGGGCACAGCTCTATTTTCTCTTCATACCACAATCACAGCTACCATGGCAGTGAAAAACATACAAATTTAAAATGCACTCTGAAATAAAGCAGTGCAATAAGATTCACAGTCTTCGCCATAATTTCCAACTGTTGAGCCTACGTAACACAGAAAATAACTTAAATCAACCTATGTCCAGAATTCCCTAGTTTCACCCAGGCACAGCAGTTATGGCCTTATCATCCACTTCAATCATGAATTTCATCCGTTTTGTTGCTGAGTGCCACAACCTTAATTAATGTAGCTTTCTAAATGTTAATATGACATGGTAACAAAAGAGTGTTTCTGGATGAACTGCGATTTCCTACAACCACACAGCACAATTGTATGCAGTCTGACAAAGCAACATGCCAATTCTATTTGCCAGTTCAAACGTGCTTGTTGTAGTTTTAGCAGTTAATTTGTGGCAGTCACATTTGGAATATGGTGAAATATTTTCAATGGCTCTCACAGAACCAGTTTTGTTGACAAAGTTTACACAGTGGAAAAGAAAACAACATTGATTTGGCAGTTTGAAAAAACATCCCCGCTCTTGTCCACAGCTGGTGTCTTTGCCACTGCTGGATATTTTGAGGATATATTTGTTAGGGAAACACAAATAGAATTATTTTCAGAAGTTCTTGGGTTGCAAGTATTTTATTTTTGCTTTCTTTGGTTAACTAATTCTGAAGAGTGATATTGCCAGATTAGTTTTTTGCAGAACTAAAAACTAACCTCAAAAATACCACGCTTTGAAGTAACAGGCTACCTATGAGAAAACCTGGAAAAATTCTGACTCCATTTAAGTCAAGCCAAGAGATGTTACACTCACTGGCTAACAAACAGGGAGAAGTGTTGCTCTGATCATCTAACAATAAAAACTGATCCAAGCTGCAGCAATATAGTTACTAAACCCAAAATGTACACAAATAAATAAAAAGTAACATCTGCTATTTAACACTCAACTTCAAATACTTCCTACATATGGAGAGTACTAAGGCAAATATTTAAGGTGAACAAAGTATATTGTTTTCCCGCCCCACCTTCGCAATATCCAGTATTTCCCAAGAACTGAAACATTCAGTGCCTGAAAGGTGTTTATAGTCCATTTTTAATGTAGCCCAAGGAAGACCTGCTTCTCTGCTCTTATTGTTACTTAAAGATGCATCATCAGTTCCTGGGCAGACTCTTTTCTATGCAGCGTCCTAGATTCTTCTTCTAGGTAGCTTTATGAATGTAGATTTTTATTACCAAATTACACATACATAGCCCTCTGTACCACGCTTGTGAAACCATCCTCCACAAGACCTAAGTTGGTTTTGGTAGAAGTTTGTGCTCAACTGCTAAACTGTTTTGCAGAGAAGTGCAAATGTCTCTAAGTTAAGAGCATTCAGTACTGGTCGGAAATTTCACTACATTTCTTACTCACCTTTCTATGAAACCCTAATCTTGATTCACTAGAGCCAAAGTTTTGTATTCAGCAACGGAAGCCACTGTTTGACTTTCAAAGTTAATTACTCTAAGCTGGAATAGGTATGACACATCCTTTAGCCCCAGGCAGAAAAGCTATGCATGGTCTGCTCTTACAGCACTCTCAGATGGGAGTCCAGGCCTCTAATATTTAAAACTTGATGCACAAACTGTTTTCTGGCAAGATTCTGCTCCAGCCCATCTGCTAGTCTGACACAGTGCCCACTCAGAAGATACCATGCCAGCTTCAGTGGGGTACAGGTGCCAAAGACGGATGAAGGGAGTGCCTTCCATAAGGCAACAGGTGCCCTATCTTTCGTCCAAAGCTCTTCCTGTTACCATATAACACTGCTCAGAAATATATCGCCCATTCAAAAAAAAACCCACATAAATTTAAAAATCATGCTCTCTTGACTTTCTAGTTTTTCTTATTATGCCAGGGTCTCTGTCCCTGACCAGCACTCTCCCAAGGTAGACTAATGAAGCGCAGAATGGCTCCCAAATCACAGGTCTGTACCTCTGGAAAAAAAACCCAACACATTATGCGACAGAATGCTGAAGTAGAATAATAATGGTCTCTGCAAATTTTGCAACAGGCTTTAGACTGTGTAGAAATTAGTTATGCTTTCAAAATTAAGTCATTTGGCCCAAAGAGATTTAAAAAAAAAAAAAGTAAGAAAGAGGGAGGCTTCAAGAGCAAACAGTCACCAGCAAGAACTCATGAAGGCACGGAGTATTTCCTCTTTAACAG